ATGTAGTGCAGCCCCCAAGGGTGATGGAGCCGAGAACATAAGAAGGATTTGAGTGGAGGCAGGGACAGGGCGCTGCACAGTAAAGGGCACAGGAGCCTCTCCCCCTCACACAGGAAGAGCCACCGAATGACCGGCAGAGCCTCAGGGAGCTGGTCAGAGCCACCCTGTGGGAAGTCAGGGGAGATGACATGCCCCCAAACAAGGCCATGGCAGCAGGAAGAAGCTGAGTTATGTCTATACATTACTCAGTGCCTGTGGGGATGGGGACCGGCAACCAGCACGGGACGGTGGAGCACCTGAGACCAGCCACTGGGGAGCCGCCGCCACCCTGGGTCCACATGCGAGGAATAGCAGTGCCGTCTGGCCCCTGCCCTGTCCTTTTACCCTCACACCAGGGACTTATTTCTCCTAACGACGAGGCAAGTAGATATTGCCATGATCCCATTTACAGGGGAGAAGACTAATGCCCAGAGAGGCCAAGTGACTTGCCCAGGGTCACACAGCAGGGCTAAGGTCTGGGATTTGAATTCGTGTTTATCTGACTCTAAAGTCTTTGCTTTATATATATGCTTAAAATAAGAGGCTCTTCATTATAAAAAGCTCCAGACATATGCGAAGTGAACAGAATTGTAGAGTCCCACACGGCAACGGTCACTAACATTCTGCTATTCTCGTTTCCCTCGGCCCCCCACTTCTCCCCCAACCTCCTATCATTGCTGCGGTTATTAGTTTCTTATTTCTTTAGGTAAAATGTAGATACACAGAAATGCATAAATCTTGCAATTAGTAAAACTCAGTACAGTTTCATATGTGTTACATGTTATTTTCGTTACTATTTTCTTACTTTCCTAATAATGGGCAGGTGTTTTTATAACGAGGGGAAAAAAACAATAAAATGATGATTAAAATGTTTAAGATGTTCCTTTGGGCTGGGGTCCTGTCCCCTCCATTCAGCTATGAGGCCTCCAGACCTCCCAAATAAGCACTCCGTGCTTTTTCACACACCTCTCTGAGTAACCAGGTCTCCTGGGACCCTGCCAGCCCACCCCAGACCCCTGGGGAAGGCCTGGTGGCCTGTTCGCAGGAGGAAAGACCTCAGCACACATACGACTCACAAACACAGCTGGGCCCAGGTCAGGCTGCCCTAGATCCAATCCCTGCCACATCCTGGGAAACCACAACATGGCCCGGTTCCACAAGAACCTCCACCTTCAAGAGGAGAGTGGGGGCCTCTCTGGGATTCTCCTGAGCCAACACAAGGCTGGGCAGGCCCCCCTAACCCTCTGGGAGAGGCTGGCCTGGGAGAGGTTGCCAGGCAACCAGCTGAGGCTCCTCCCAGGGTGGCTGTGGGTGGCATGTTGCCTGGCAACCAGGTGGCAGCGTCCCTTGAGCCAGGACCAGGCAGCTGCGCCCAGCCCTGTGTGGCTTCTCCTGGGCCTGCAGGACCCCTGGGGCCCTGTCCTTATTCCTTAAGACCAGGGTAGCTGGTGTCTCTAGTCACAATGAACATTGTTCTCTTCAGGTGAGTGCCCGAGGTTGGGAGGGAGGGGCAAGCCAGGTTCTCAGGGCCTGATGCACCCAGACAGGGGCAGCTGCAACTGCCGGGTGGGGGTGGGAGTGATGAGGGTGAGCTCCCTCCCGTATTGCACCCACCTCAAGGTCGAAAGAAGATGGGCCTCAGGACCACAGAGGCTTCCGGAAACTGGCCTCTGCTTCTCCAGCATTATCGCCCACGGCTCTGGCATAGCCAAGTTACCAAGGTCCACCTTTAATTTCCCTCACTTGCCTCTACATAGAAAACCCCTCTTCATGCTTCAGAGCCCCAGCAGGCGTCACCCCTGCTGTGGGATCTCCTGACCACACTGCCTCCAGGCTCTTCCTAGGACGGCTCTTCCTAGGACTGCTCTCCCGCAACTCACAACTCACTGGACTGGGCCCTCACCCGGCTGTTTCTAAGCCTGGTTCTTCTGAGGGCGGCAAACTCAAGGGTGTCTCTGCAGCCCCTGGGCCTCGCTCACGGGGATTCTGGTTCACACGTCGGGGGCCGGGGCCCAGGAAACTGCATGCTTAACTTGTGCCGTAAGTGATTCTGATGGGTGGGGGATCCTAAGACCCCACGTGGAGGAACAGATACTGCAGGCAGCTGCGTGACCTTGAGCAAGATGCTTCCCTTCTCTGGTCCCGTTTACTCGTTTTAAAATGGCGAGAGTAACAGTGTCTTACTTACTGGGTAATGAATGTGGAATATTTTGGGAAGTGGACAAAGCGCCCTCCTCAGAGCTTTAGAGATGTGTTTGGAGGGTCGCACAGGGGACTTCCGTCAATGTCAAGAGATGTGGGGAGGGAGGCAGGAGCCGGGGCAGAGAGGGCCCGGGAGAGGGTGAGCGCCCGATCACACCACACACGGTCACTGAACCCCACACTGGACAGGCACAGGCCAGCCGCACAGAAAGATAAGACGCTCCCACTCCAAGACGCGGAGGGTGACAGGAAGTGATGAGGGACATGCAAGGGGGACAAACTAGAACTTCGGGGCTGGGAGGAGGGATGAATGGGCGGCGCACAGGGTTCGGGGGGCAGTGAACTGCTCCGTACGACACTGTGACGGTGGACACGGGGCACCAGGCGTCTGTCAAAACTCACAGCATGTGCAGCACCAAGAGTAAACCCTCGGTATTGGCTCATCTTTTGTCACAAATGTCTCCAGGTAATGCAAGGTGTTACTCGTGGGGCCGTGTGTGCTCAGGGAGGGGCACATGAGCACTCTCTGCACTGCGCACGCAGTTTTCTGTCAACCTAAAACTGGTCCCCAGAAAGTCCGTTAATTTGGGGAAAAAAAAAAAAGGCTTCAGGGTTCGGAGACGGGAGAGAAGTTTGACAGTTTGGGGGAAAGCTAGAGTCGGAGGAATGTCCGAGAGAAGAGGCCGCGGCAGCGAGAGAATGAAGCCTCTCTGACGGGCTGCGGGGAGGGAGGAGGCCAGCTTCGAGGCCACACCCCCACGGGCATTCCGGCCTGGCCACCGGCCAGCTCTGTGACCCGGCTGGGCTCCCGCACCTGCTCTGATGGGCTGACACCCAACCTTGAGTTTGGTCCCAGGAGCCAGATGCCCAGCATGGTGCTTGCCGCCTAGGAGGACGACGGGGGGTGGGTGAGCCCCACGTCACTGCCTGGACAACCCCTAAGGCCCCCACCTCCCCCAGGGACAGCCAGGTGAGGGTGATGGAGACCACAGTGACCCATGCCGAGAAGTACTTTGGCCAGTTCTGCTCGCTGCTGGCTGCCTACACTCGCAAGACAGCCCGGCTGCGGGACAAGGCTGACCAGCTGGTCAAGCAGCTCATCGACTTTGCCAACACTGAGAACCCCGAGATGCGGGCCGCCATGAGGAACTTCGCCGAGGACCTGGCCAAAGTACAGGATTACCGGCAGGCCCAGGTGCGTGGGGCTGCTGGGGACCCAGGCCCATTGCTGGGGTCGGATCCAAGGGCTAGAGCTGCCCACGGGGGCCACGGCCCATGGACATCTCCTCCCAGCTGTCCCCCAAGGCTGGACACTTACACAATCCCTCCCTGGGTGTGGGGGGGGTCACACTTCCATTTACAGGACTGAGAGCCAGGAGGCTTTGCAGAGTTGAAGGGGTGGGCAAGGCAAAGGGACCCAGAAAGCCAGTCCTGAGGGCTGCTACTGTGGGCTCCCCACGTTCCCGGCAGGGGGCACATCCCCAGGGTGCAGAGGACCTGTAGAAGGGACAGACATCTTGGGGCTGAGGCTAAGGAGGCTGCCGCAAGTTAGGAAATAGTAAAAAATTAAAATCTCCTGCCGGCCCAGAAACCTCTCAATGACTGTAGAAAAGAACAGAACAGCTTATATACTGAATGAACATTAAACCAGACTGTCATGCGCATTGCAGGTGATCTGATTAGTGATGGCAAAGACAGACAGAAACCTCACTCCCTAAACAGCCAGGTCGAGAGAACCCCTCACATGCACATTCTCCAGACAGGTGATAACTTGTCCTCAAGTAAGGAGACAGCACCATTTGTCACACTGGACTTGGCGGCCACCTATATTAGCAAATCATCTTTATCCAAAGGAAAAGTAAAATTTCTCACATCTCTACGACAAGCAGGCGGCTATAGCTTGGAGCCAGGCACCGGGGTGAAGCTCCTGAGACCGTGTTACCTTGATGTTTACCTTTCAAAAACACGACTGCCATTCCTGGGTCGTAAAACTGAAAAGAGCTTTCTTTAGCTTTTAAAAAGATTTTGATGCGTCTAGAGAATAGATGCACAGTGGCAAGTTTTCTAAAAGAAATGCTTTAAGGGCGGGAGGGAAAAGTCCCTTTCCCTTTTGGTACCTGGGAAAATGAACTATTTTTAGATTTGTGTTTACCTTTCAAGGCTCATAAGCCTTGGGGAAGGAGAAAGGGCTGGGTGGGGCGTGCGGCTCCCCTGGCCCACCTGGTGAGTCAGATTTTAGGGGGCCCATCCTCCAGGCATGAGCCTCACCTGGGAACTTGTTAGAAATGCAGATTTGGGGGCCATACCTTGGACCTGCTGAGTTACAACCTCTGGGATGGCACCCCACGATCAGGGTTTTCAGGAGCTCTTGGGGGGCACCCCAAGGCCTGCTCTAGCGTGACACGTTCTGATTTGGAATAATGCTGGGTGAGGGGTAAGCACGTGCTCAACGTTAGCTTTAATTGTGGTTGTTAATACTATTACTGATATTGTTTATTGAAGTGTCTGGTATTAGGCTTGGCGCGTAGGCACTGGCTCAGGGGTGTGAGGCGTCCTCCTCACTCCCTGCTGCGAATCCCAGGCTGTTCCATGTTCTAAGCGGGTCTATCTAGCCTCCCAGTGAGATCCTAAAGCAGTCTGGAGAACTGAAATAGTGATGTGTCCCATGGACCTGTCACGAACCCTGGGTGGGCACAGGCATTTTACAGGTGAGAAAACAAGGCTCGTTAAGATGAAATCTATTGCCCAAGCCCTTAGGAGGCAGAGCCCTGAGCTCGGCTGGCACTGTCAACCCTAAACGGTGAGGGAGGGTGTTTGGGGCTCCCCGCCCAGCCTCTCCAGACTCCTGCCATCCAGCTCTGCGGGCTCCAGGCATCTCCTGGGCTATATCCACTCTGATTCTCTGCGTGTCTGTGCTCCCCCAGGTTGAGAGGCTGGAGACCAAGGTCATCAACCCTCTGAAACTCTATGGGACGCAGATAAAGCAGACACGGGTGAGCGGGCGTGCTGCGCTGTGCTGTGCTGTGCGGTGGGCCGTGTCTGTGGCTGGCTGCCCTGGATCCCCAGGAAACAGCCCCCTGCTTCCTTTAGGCCGAGATCAAGAAATTCAAACATGTCCGGAATAACGAGATCAAACAACTGGAAAAGCTGGAGAAACTGAGGCAGAAGTCGCCTTTGGATAGGCAAATGATTGTATCCTTCCTTGAAGCTGGGCCTGGGG